AGTACATGCTATACTGATGCATTATTTACACATCAGAATGGCCTAAGACACTTTAACAAATCCGCTTTGATGTCCCTCTTCTCTTTCTCTCAAAGTTAAGGTAATTGATTCGATAGTTTTTATTATCAAGTGCCACTCTTCTGTTGTGTTTGTAAACTCTTGCTTCCAGTGATTAAACTTCTTTCTGAGGGAAGTCTTGGGACAGTTATGTACTACATGTGCTTACTTGCAGTTTAAATGCCATTCTGGACTTTTTGCCCAAGCAGAGACGGACAGGTCTGTTCTCAGCAACTCAAACTCAAGAGGTGGAGAACCTGGTGAGAGCAGGTCTCCGGAATCCTGTCCGCATCTCAGTGAAAGAGAAGGGAGTAGCAGCAAGCAATACACAGAAAACTCCAACACGCCTGGAGAACTATTATATGGTGCGAACCTCTGTGCTTTTTGATAGTGTCTTATTCCCTCTCCTTTTTCCCTGGTTCCATCAATAAGTTTTTAAGTCTTGGCCAGCTAGGATCACATCAATAAAGGAACCAGAAGCCTCAAAGACATCGAGCTCTTGCATCTTCTCCAAGCTAAGGAGAAAAATTTACGTAAGCAACCCAGTTGTTACCTGCTCTCTGAGTTTGTTTGGCTGGCCAGGAGTTGTAACCCTAAACTGGCTGCAGTGCTGTGGCTCCCTGACCTGCTTAGAGTGAATGGGTATGGGAGGAGTTTGGCAATTTCAGAAAAGTGGCCAGGGGATACTTGAGACACTACTGCAGGAGGGGTGTTGTGGCTGGATGGGAAGAGTGGGAGCTTAAGTATTTGCTTTTACTTAGAACACGATATGTAAGAGAGTAGTATTCCACATGACGAAGTGTGGGACAAATGATCAGTATTAAGAAATTAGGCCTGTAGGCATTTATCAGTGCACATTGAATGGAAGAAACTGGCAGATCACTTTGTGTGAAGTCCATTTTCTTACTTCATTTTTCTTTTCTTTTGCATTGTATAGATCTGCAAAGCAGATGAAAAATTTAATCAGCTGGTGCATTTTCTTCGACAGCACAAACAGGAAAAACATCTAGTCTTTTTCAGGTAATTCTGTTTGTGTTTCCTTGTGAAAACAGGGTGGTGTTTTATTACTTAAATTCCAAAGCTGTGCCCTGTGTTGACAAGGACATGACTATTTTAAAAGTGATCCGTTCTAATAGCTGTCTTGTAGAAAATGGTGCCTAGAAAGAGATTGATCCTTGCTTCATGTCAGGATTATTTTGAACTTTATTAAGCAAAACATAAATTTTATATGCATTTTTGAAGTAAGGCATTATAGATGATTATATGTTAATTATAAAAATTATGTACATATTTTAAATAAAAATAGGCAGTATTTTGAAAGGTCTCGGATGACTGTAGCTTGACTGTCTAAACCAGATTAAAAATACAGCATTATCCTTTGTTTTTATTGCCTGTCTGTATCACAACAGCACGTGTGCCTGTGTGGAATACTATGGGAAGGCTTTGGAATCCTTAATCAAACAAGTGAAAATAATGAGCATTCATGGGAAAATGAAACACAAGCGTAACAAGATTTTTACTGAGTTTCGGAAGCTCCCAGGGTAAGAACACATGAATAGGCTAGACTAGCCAAAAGTTAAAATAGTAAGGGATGCGTAATTTTGTCTGACAATACTTTTCTGCCACTGAAGTGTGGAAGAGTGGCATTGTGCTGAGGAGAAGGATGCTAGTAGCTGGTTCTGAATGTATTTTTAATAACACAAACTATGCATAGGTACTCAAAGTACGATTGCAAATGAAATGAAAGTGTGACTGGAGTATGTCCAGCCTAATTTAGATAATCCATGTGGCAGGGTGGAAGGTGCAGGGACATGGATTTAGGATATCCTGCAGCCTGGGACCCTCTGCAGTTTGCGGTGCTTGGTGGGCAAACATAGGCACTATGAAGCCGATCATTATTGCTGCTATCTGTGTTACTCTTTTAACTGGCCGCACTGTAGTGTCACGTGCCAAAACCACACATGAGCCTTGCTGTATAAATGGAGCATCAGTAGGGAACTGGCAGTGAAAATAACCTTTCCCTGATTGGTAACCAGAGTGGAAACCCAGGATACTCTTTGATTAGTACATGAATAAGAATATGGCAACACAGTGCTGTAATTTACCTGCAGGAAAGTATTTGTCAGCTTTGCAGGTTGTTTTTAAGAGACTCTTGCCTCATTAGCTGTCATTTTTTTATTGCGTGGGGCCTGAATTTTAGCATTTTATAAGAAAAATAATTACCAGTAGACTGGAAGAACATGCTGTTTAAAATAGCATGCTAAAACTATCAGTCTTGTCTTTTATTAAAACATTTGTAGTATGACATCCAGCTGTGGTGGGTGCTGCGGTGGATGCAATGGTGATGTAAAATAGAACTTGTAACAGGGAATTGATTTTTTTTTTTTTTTTTTTTTTTTCTTAGTGATATGTTGTCTGTAATACAAATCATGTTCCTTTTGACGATGTTACGTAGAATTTTAGTTGGTTAAAGCTGCAACTACCTTATAATATTTGGTCTCTTTTCAAAAACCAAATGTTTTAAAATGTTTTGTTCCTCATAATGTAGATGCAGAATACGTGGCTGGGGGAGACTGGCTCTTCTCAAACCACAGTTTAATGAAAATACGCTTTTTCTTCTTCCTAGTGGCATTTTAGTTTGCACTGACGTGATGGCTCGTGGCATAGACATTCCAGAAGTACACTGGGTTTTACAGTATGACCCACCTAGCAGTGCAAGGTACAACTTCAGATCTTAAGAACCTTTACTCTACTTGTGGTCATGTTGTACTGTTAAGGTATAAATTGAGAACTTTCCGCAACTGCGGAAAACACGTTAAATCATTGCCTGGAACTTAGTCTCGGTGAACACACAAAATAACGCACAAACAAGGGAGGTTGGAACACTGCAATTTTTGTTGTAATTGCTGTGAGTTGAGGTGACTTTGTGTTGTATGTGTGTAAGTCAAACGGGTGGTTGCCACTTAACACTTGTGTGAAGAGGCGCTCTGGTGTAAAGCTCAGTATGAGAATATCAAAGAAATCACGAGAGGCAAGACACTAGGGTGAACAACAACAGAGATGAGAGTGGGGACGGAGCTCTTCAGGGAGCGGTACATTGAAAGTTCACATGGAAGGTGCTTTTCCCTGTATTTTAACTTCCAGTGTCATAATTCTCCCTACAACTTCCTTAAACTCCATCCTGCCAAACAGGTGCCCCTTGTTTTAGTGCACAGTCCTAACGGTTGAGTGGGACTGCTACATGTCTTGCATTTTACCGAATCCTGCTGGTTTAGTTCAAAAGTATATAGCATGCTATATTTTCCATTCCATCAAATTTCCCCTTTTGCTGTCTGTTTAATACTTTAAAATCAGACTGAGCATCTCTTGTTAAGTCAGCTCTCTGTTGTCATTTCAGTGCCTTTGTGCATCGGTGTGGTCGAACAGCGCGTATTGGCAACGTAGGCAGCGCGCTTGTATTTTTGCTTCCCATGGAAGAATCTTACATTAACTTTCTCTCAATCAACCAAAAGGTTAGTAGACCAAATTCTACCCCAGAGCAGGAAAGGGCAAGGGGACAGGCTTACTGATAGGAGTTTTGAAATCAGAATTTGTAGAACTTAAAACATTATCTATGCATATGACCTTAGCAGAGGGGTTTGTTAAAAAAAGACAAGAGCTGCTTATTAATCAACAAATGCAACTATTTGTTAGAACACGATTGCTCCCCATGCTACCTACTGCGTTTGTAATAGGAATATCTGGTGCATTGAGTAAGGAAAGGCTTTTCCTTTCTAAGGGTGTGGAGATCGAGCATTTCCAGAAGGGTATTGCTGGCTCACACTCCTACCCCCAACCCTCCTGCCACCAGTTTATACACTGCACCCTCTGGCTGTTTAACTCTGATCAGATTTCCCATGTCTGGTCCTGCATTTGTGGGATTAATTGTATAAATTCTCTAGAGGCCTGCTAATGAGAACGTAGCTTGATAAAGCATGAGATGAAGATGTTCCCTCTCCTGAGCCGCAGTGTGCGAACCCTTCTGCTGGGCTAGGGCAGCTGTGGGGGGAGCTGGATGGTGTTGGAATGACCAAGCAGAAGGGGGAAAGGGACTCAAAGCTAAGATTAACTGGGGAAGAAGCGTGTTTGAAGTTTCACAGTGCATTTTAAATCACTAATGGTGTTGGAATGATCAAGCAGAAGGGGGAAAGGGGCTCAAAGCTAAGATTAACTGGGGAAGAAGCGTTGTGTTTGAAGTTTCACAGTGCATTTTAAATCACTTGGCTGAACTCTTCCTTTGGTTTTCTGTTTCTTTTCTGGTTTTCAGTGTCCCATGCAGGAAATGAAACCACAGGCAAACGTGTTAGATCTTCTTCCAAAACTGAAGTCTATGGCCCTAGCTGACAGGGCGGTGTTTGAGAAAGGGATGAAAGCATTTGTGTCTTACGTCCAGGCTTATGCCAAACATGAATGTAATCTGATCTTCCGAATAAAAGGTAATTCCCAGCAGGGGCTGGTATCCTTTACTGTCCCTTTCAGAAGACAGTATTTGGTCTGGCAAAAACCATAGCGTTATTGTCTGCAAGTTTCAGCTACTGATTCCTGTTCTCAAAGTTGCTTTCTGCCACATTAGACAAAACTACTCTATTTTTTTCAAGCAACTTGTTTCTCATTGCTTTCAAGAGAAAACATTTAATTAGTAAATTTGACCAAAAATGACATACACATAAATAAAAATTATTTAGTATAAAGTATAGAATGAAGACAATACAGCAGGATAATTCTTTTCTGTGACTTGCAAAGTTAAATTAACGTTTTTTATCCAGCAGGAAACTGATGTTATATTTATTTTGACAGATCTGGATTTTGCTAGCCTTGCCAAAGGTTTTGCATTGTTAAAAATGCCAAAGATGCCTGAACTAAGAGGAAAAAGTTTTCCAGACTTTACTCCAGTCACTGTTAATACAGACTCCATTTCATTTAAGGATAAAAATAGAGAAAAACAGAGACAAAAGCAATTAGAACAACAAAGAAAAGAAAGAGAGGAGAATGGAGGGAAAAAGAAACCCATAAAGAACAAAGCCTGGTCAAAGCAGAAAGCCAAGAGGGAGAAGAAAAAGAAAATAACAGCTAAAAGGAAGCGTGAAGAGGTAAACTGTGCCCGTTCTATTAGACTGCATGTGATTACTGTAGCGCAGATGCATACTTCCAAATGGCAGAGAGCCAGTGGGATTTTAGTTGGATGGAGCTGACAACTCTAAATTAACTTCTTAGGACCTCGACAGGCAAAGCTTAAAAAAATTGTAGAGAAGCTTTTTGAGGCCAAATGCTAAAACAGCTTCTCAGCACTCCGATGCTTGTCAGTAATGTTTTTATTTCTCAGAGGTGCAGCAGTACAGCAGGATGGTGGACAGTATTTGATTTTTTTTTTCCTCTTAGGTTTTTTCATTTCTCAACAAGTGTAACTGAGAGTTAGACAGTTTCCTAGGTAGAAATTGAGTATTATTTCCTGCTTGCACACTCTGGCAAAATCTGAGTTGTAAAATTCTCTTGTGTTCAGATGTATAGAATGAAAGCTTTTTGGTGGTGCTTAATTTCTTATTTTTCCACTGTCAACAGGGTTCTGATATTGAAGATGAAGATATGGAAGAGTTGCTGAATGACACAAGACTCTTGAAAAGATTAAAAAAAGGAAAAATCAGTGAAGAAGAGTTTGAGAAGAGAGTAATAGGCAGCCAGAGTAGACTCAAAGCAGAAACTCTTGCTGACTTAAAGTCTGAAGGTTGACAGTTATTCTAACCCTGCTTTTACATTAAAATACTGCTTGTATCAATAAAACTGTATTTTTGTAACAATGATGCAGAGAACAGAATTGATCTAACTTCTTCATAAAGAGACCTGGCACCCATAAAGATATACACACAAGCCTGCAGTTAAGAACAAAGCTAAAAGCACCGCTCTTGTATGGCACAGCAGGAGCTGCAGACTTACATATGCAGCCTTGTGCATTTTTCCTTTTTTTTTTTTCTTCAGGTACGTACCACAGATTAGTAAGTAACAGCATATGGATACACCATAAGGTATTTTATTTTACAATATTAAAATACGCCACCCATCTTTAGAAGTAATTTATTTTAGGTCTTTAGAAGCTGTAGTAAACTTTTGGATTTTTTTTTTTTAAACAGTGGTCCATCCACATGTAATGTTTTGCTTTAAAAACTCAAGGCAGCTGATAATTACATTAATCCTTATAATGTTGTCTCCTTACCATGTCCATATAACTTGTATCATCTTCCATGTTCTTACAACTGTGATATTCACTGAAGAAGATGATACATCCTGTACACAGAGTCCCCAGTTACAGATAGAGTTTAATAAGTTCATCACTGACAGCTGATGGAGTTAACACACCGAGGTCTGTAAACAGCAACGTAATTAGCGATGGTGATGTGTAGTCAATCCAGGGATGCTCCTCTGTTAGATTCTGACTTGTTTTCAGAGTGTCTGCTTTGTACTAGAAGGAAACGGAGACCATTAGTTGTTACACAACTGCAAGTTAAAACCTCTTCTGGGTCTTGAGCAGATGTTTGTGGTAAAACTGAAGGAAGTCAGTTGCTTTAAGATGAGGCATAGGCTGGTGCCACCTTGGTCTCAGCTGTTTTGTCTTCTTTATAAAGTACAATTTCTAGTTCTGAAGTTTATTGATTTAACTGTTTCTTGCCCTCAGTTGCTCCTGTGCCCCAAAGGAAGCACTTTAGGAACTAAATGTTAGTTTTGCGACAAATCATGGCTGTTTGACGTGTGACTCTTAACATGGAGCAACTCTGTATTATGGAAAGGAAGCTATCATAGAGAAATCCAGATAAATGAAGGCATGCTTAGATGAAAGTTTTTCATAGACACTAAGTGTGCATCTTAGCTGGCTAAGAAGTAATTCAAACTTCTCTTACCTTAAACTTATCTGGGACGTCCTGCTGATTTAGAGGGAAAAGTCTTACAAACTTGAAACTTTCTGCTACCACGTAAAATGGCTTATTCTGAGCCTTGGCACACACAGCAATTTGATTAGTGCCAATCTGTGGAGACAAGTGGGAAACAACATGCAGATTCAGTGCTTGCATGACGTAATACCGCCCTGTTTCTAACAATAAATAGACGTTTACTGGATAATGTCCAAATAGAAAAGATTTTCCAGAAAGCCTTGAATTATTCAAAGAAACCAAACTTTAAAAGTCTAGAGTTTACAGAATGATGTAATAAACTCGCTACCTTGTTAATAATGCCTCCGCTTTCAACTACACCTTCAGCACCAACTAACACCAGGTCCACTTTCTCCATAATGTAGCTGTTAGAAGGGGGAAAAAAATGCAAGTCTTACTGGGTAATATGACAAATGACTTGCTGAACAGAACAGAAATTAGTAATTCAAAGAGTCTTTCACTTTTCTGAACTAGTTTCATCTACCTATGTAAGTCTGTGCTGTTATGCATCCTTGGAGTGAGCTTTAATCTGCTTCCCTGGCAGGAATATTAAGTAACCGTATCATCTCCAGCCATTCCTGACCTTGGCAACTGTGTAAATGCTACAAAGCTGTGAAATCTGACTAGGAATGATACTCGAGTTACAGGAAAATGGGTGTCTGTGATAAGATACTACCTACACAGTGAAGTCTAACTGCACCGTGACAACCTTAGCGAAATACATAGGATGCCCCTCATCTAATCCCCTTTTTTTTACATCCCTCCAATGCGTTTTTTAATTGAAAATACAGATCTAAAAAGAAATCCACCAACTAAGTGATTTGGATAGGTTTAAGGTGGTAAACAGAAGTTGTAGACTTGTCTTCCCTAAATTCTTGGGCATTTTGCATTTACGCAAGAATTGAGGTTCAGATTTATTATAGTTCTTTCTCATGTTTTGGTAATCTAGTAAATAGCTTAAGAAACCCAAAAATGATAACATGTATGCAAATTAGAAAAAAAAGTAGCCTTTTTGTGTAGCACCTCAGTTTTTTGTTTGTTTTTTTTTTTTGTTTGGTTTTTTTTTTTGCAGATATCCCCAAGTTCTACACTTAGGTCTGACTCCATTTTTCATTCTAACATGCAAACATCAAATACTTGCTTTGTAGCAGGCGTATTCTCCTAATCGTGCATCTAAAGGTGTAACTTGTTCAGCTTGTTTGACGGCTATGACAAACAAAGTAACAACCTCTGTAGTTTGAATGAGCTTCTAGGAAATATACATAAAGCACTATCAAAGTAAAATTGTGATGAACAATATTAAGACTTAACGATCAGGCTTACCCCACTGCAGCATCCAGAATCACAGTCACAGGAATGTTCAGCTTCCTCAAGGCTTTTGCCATTTTTTGCCTATTAGAAAAAACATGTTTGAAGCTTAAAAGTTTTCTTTAAAGATAACGCTAGAAAAATATTGTCTGAAGGGCTAAAACCCATGACTGCCCATGTTCCCTTGCCTATAGTTTTGGTTTGTGATGTATCCTCTAATAGAAAGTAAGTTCTTGTCTAGAAATGGAAAAAACCAGATTCAAACAAACCCAACAGAAGTCAGTTTATTTTAGCAGTCAGGAATTTAGCTACAGAAAGATGAGTCGGTGAACTATTATTAAGATGACAGATTACCTAAACTGTCTCAGCTTTTCCATCAACAGGGTGTAAGAAACAAGAAAGAAAGGATGGGGTGCATCAGTGGCTAGAAGTTACTTCAGTGAAGCTGGAAAATCATATGTGCTTTACTTAACATCCTTAATTCTAGTGAGACTGGTTAGCAACATGTATTATCCGGTATGTAGGATTTATTACTTCACTGACACCACGGTGTATGGTCTGAAGAGGGAAACTTTGCTCTCTCGCTATCAGTAATACACTTTATTTGGCATCTTCAAACAATGGTGTTAGCTAAATGTTTCACTTTGCTATGCCTAATATAATACTGATTATACAGACAACTGGAAATCAATTGTCTCCCATTTCCCCAGGAAAATGTAGGTTGCCTGGCACTGACTGAAAGTTTGTAAACCTTTCTTGAAAACCTAGGAAACACTTATTGGAATATTTAGTGTTGAAAATTACTTGCTAATATTGGGGTTTTTTTTTTTTACTTGTCCAGAATAATGTGATACTGTAAGTGATAGTTACCATTTTAAATGCTGCAAACAAGCCTATCAGCTTTTCTTGAGGTGTGACAGATTTGATGCTAGCTGTAACTTACCCTGTTAACCAAGATAAAACACAAATTAATGAATACTTGCCCTGCTTGATCTGGCTGTGATTCAGTAACATAAACACTGAATCGCTTCTTTGACTCAACAGCTGCTTCTAACACTCTGAGGACCACTCTTGAGTAGGCATGTGTCAATATTCGCTGGAAAAAAAGATAACCAGATGTTACTTTTGGCTGAGCTTTGGGAAATCTTTACTTTTGTCAAAGGTGTCATGGCTTTTACTTCACACAACTGTCCATCATTGTTAAATAATAACGTATGTCACTTGTATTTTACAAATCCTAGGGTAGCTTGACTTCATGTGGCCCGATATGATGTGGCCAAGGGGTGATGATCTAGTACTTTAAATGGAAACTTGAAGTTGTGACTCCTCAGAACCAATTAGAAGTAGACCACAAGTTAAAGTTGGGCTGCATGGAGGCTCAAGTTGGGGGTGGTGAGTCATAATAAAACAAAGCGATGGGTGATGCTACACCTATGTACTTGCAGAAGCCACCATCAGACAATGCTGTTGTGAATGTTAATGAACTTCACTCCCCTCCCCTTCTGTTTTTCCCTTACTGCAAGCAGGAGAGCAACAGAAGAGGAGTGACCCAGCCTCGGCCTACTTACGGCACCATCTCTGATGAAAGGATGACACAGCTTGGCGATCTTGTTCCTCGAGAGAGAGACTTTCCTCAGGAAGATCTCCCCGCGCTCGATCATGATTTCTTTGCACTTGGAGTAGTCCTGGAAAACACAGCAATGCCTGCTGTGAGGCTGGAGGGTCCCCCAGCATGGCTGCGCGGGGGGCAGCCACCCTTACCGAGTACTCCAGGGAGGTGAGGCTGATGAAGCGCAGGAAGAGCTCCCCGCCGGAGGAGACGGCCACCGAGGAGTCCACCCGAGACAGGGTGTCGATGGCGGCCAGCAGGCTGCTCCTCAGCCCCTGGATGGTCTCCCCTGCGGGGAGGCAGAGGTGCGCGGTGAGGGCAGGGCTGGGCCTCACCGACACGGGCCTCGTCGTGGGGAGACCCGGGGCAGAGGGGGGACCCCGTCCCACCCGGGGCCAGAGGGGGGGCGCG